TGAAACAATTATTCCAATTAATTGCATCAAAAATAAATAAGCACTTTTCAATATGTTTAGCAAAATCATTCATTATTAACCCATTTATTAATTACTTTTCTATTTTATTTTCATTATTTTCAACACATTCATTATTTATTATTTTCATAGGTATAATAACCTTGGTGCAGATGGAGCTAAGAACATTGGAATGAGCTTGGAGAAGTGCCAAAATATAACATCTTTGAATCTCGATCTATTGTAATTTAACTAACTATCAATTTATATTTAGTTTGTTTTAATTAATACATTTGTGAAATTGAAACTTAAAACAAATGGGTTTGGAGAATTAATTGATTGATTCACAGCTCATAAATTGTTTTTGATTTTTTTGTTTAATTTTTTTTGTGCATCTAAATTTATTTGTTTACGAATTGAAACAATTATTCCAATTAATTGCATCAAAAATAAATAAATAAGCACTTTTCAATATGTTTAGCAAAATCATTCATTATTAACCCATTTATTAATTACTTTTCTATTTTATTTTCATTATTTTCAACACATTCATTATTTATTATTTTCATAGGGAGAATAACCTTGGTGCAGATGGAGCTAAGAACATTGGAATGAGCTTGGAGAAGTGCCAAAATATAACATCTTTGAATCTCAATCTATGGTAATTTAACTAACTATCAATTTATATTTAGTTTGTTTTAATTAATACATTTATGAAATTGAAACTTAAAACAAATGGGTTTGGAGAATTAATTGATTGATTGATTCACAGCTCATAAATTGTTTTTGATTTTTTTGTTTAATTTTTTTTGTGCATCTAAATTTATTTGTTTACGAATTGAAACAATTATTCCAATTAATTGCATCAAAAATAAATAAATAAGCACTTTTCAATATGTTTAGCAAAATCATTCATTATTAACCCATTTATTAATTACTTTTCTATTTTATTTTCATTATTTTCAACACATTCATTATTTATTATTTTCATAGCTGTAATAACCTTGGTGCAGATGGAGCTAAGAACATTGGAATGAGCTTGGAGAAGTGCCAAAATATAACATCTTTGAATCTCGATCTATGGTAATTTAACTAACTATCAATTTATATTTAGTTTGTTTTAATTAATACATTTGTGAAATTGAAACTTAAAACAAATGGGTTTGGAGAATTAATTGATTGATTCAGATCTCACAAATTGTTTTTTGATTTTTTTTGTTTAATTTTTGTGCATCTAAACTTATTTGATTACGAATTGAAACAATTATTCCAATTAATTGCACCAAAATAAATAAACACTTTTTAATATGTTTAGCCAAATAATTCATCACTGATTAATAAATTATTTTCATTTTTCTATTTTTAGTTTAATTATAATATATTTATATATTTTATAGATTTGATGATTTCGAACTCAAATTCAAAATTAAAATGGACAATTGAAAAAAAATACAAAAAATTGGTATAAAATAATATATTTATCTGTAAATTAATATTGATAAATAAATGAAGCTAATCACAAATTTTAAATATCCATTTATAAATCTTTTTTTTATATGAATTTCATGTTCTAAATGTTATTAATCTTATAAAACTGATATATAAATAACAAATGAAATTATTATTATAATACATAAATACATATTTATTAAAATTCATAAAAATGTTTTTTCATTTAAATTAAATTTATTGTTTAAAATATCTTAATATTAAAATTTTAAACTATTTCAACTTTATTATTTTTATTTTAAATAAAGATAGACTTTAAAAAACTTATTGATTAAAATATAATTTTACTATTTTAATAATTAATATTTATCAAAACTATTAGGATTGTTGTGATTAAATTGTTTTAAATTAGTACACTCTAAAGAGAAACTCTTTATAATTATTGCTATTTTAGGATAATTATTTCTTGAATAAGAAATATATATTTAGAAGAATAATTTATATTATTTAATAATAAAAAATTAAAACAAAAAAAAAATTTAAAGCATGTTTCGAACCTGATTGAATAAAAAAAATGAAGATTTAATTTGTTTTTTAATAAAATATGATATTCATAAATATAAAAACAATAATAAAATCTATCTATCTAAGTATGTATATTTAGTTTAAATAATCTTATCTCAAAATATAAAAAAAAAACATATTATATACCCTTGTTCAAATATTTAATATTTATTCATCCTTTTTTCACCATTTGTTAATCATTAGACTTATATTGAAAATAAAACTAATCTTTTTGACTTAAGACACTTGCTTTTTAGTTTCAATTATTATGATTCATCGATCTAGTTAGAGCTTTTATTTTATTAATTAGAATAAATTAATAAAAAAAATAAATAAAGTAATTTTTAAATTAATAAACAACAAAAATTAGCAGATTAAATAGATAAATAAATAAAACTAAATCAAATAAAAAGGAGCTTAATATTTTTAAATTAATTTTTATAATTAAAATATAACAATTCAAAACAAATAAACTGTTTTTACCTAAGGTAAAGGTCCAAATTTGAGAGTTTAGTGCAATTTGCTAAACTAGAACCTAATCTTGAAGCACTTATTGCACCAATTTATTTGGTACTTTTTAAATATTGAAGAAAAAATATTTAATTAAATGGTTAATTAGAAGGAAAAAATGAAGAAAAAATATGAAATAATTAGAAATTAATTAATTAGAAATAATTAAAAAAAAGGTTAAAATCAAAAAAAAATGATAAAAAAATGAAAAATAAAAATAAATTAAATAAAATGCTTTTAAATATTTTAAAAGAGCTTTATTGTTTTCAATTAATTTTCAAAATAAAAAATATCTCAATCTAAAACAAATAAACTCTTTTTACCCAAGGTCGAGTGCCAAATTTGAGAGATTAATGCAATTTGCTAAAGCAAAACCTAAGCCTGATGCACCTTCTTCACCAATATTATTTTCACTTTTAAAATATTAAAGAATATAATTAAAAGGAAAAAATGAAGAAAAAATATGAAATAATAAGAAATAAATTAATTAAAAATAATAAAAAAAATGAGTTAAATTAACTAAGGTAGTATAAAAAAAATGAAAAATAAATCAAATAAAAGGCTTTCAAATAAATTAAATAAGCTTTGTTTTTTAAAATTAATTTTTATAAATTAAAATATCTCAATCTAAAACAAATAAACTCTTTTTACCCAAGGTTAAGTATCAAATTTGAGAGATTAGTGCAATTTGCTAAACCAGAGCCTAAGCCTAATACACCTGCATCACCAATATTACTGTCACTTTTTAAATATTAAAGAAAAAATATGAAATAAAAGAAATTAATTAATGAATAAAAAAAGAAAAAGGTTAAAATAAAAAAAATGATTTAAATAAACAAAGAAAGAAAGAAGAAAAAGAAAATAATAAATAAATAAAATAAAAAGAAATCTTTAAAGTTAATGAAAAGAATTTTATTGTTTTAAATGAATTTTTATAATAAAAATGATAACAATTCAAAACAAATAAAATA